CTTTGATCAACACTCGAGTATTCTATATGTTACCGAAAAGGCTACTGTGCAGATTGCTCGGTTCACAGGTCACTACTACGGTTTCAACTAGTGGTCCTGTGACTAGCACTACTACTGCCTCAACTAGTGGTCCTGTGACTAGCACTGCTACTACCTCAACTAGTGGTCCTGTGATTAGCACTACTACTGTCTCAACTAGTGGTCCTGTGACTAGCACTACTACATCCTCTTCATCTGGCCAGTGTTCGGATGACTTCTGCGTTGCTGATAGGACGACGTTCCCTAACCTCCTCCCGGCGGGCCAAATAACTACCGAGTCCTTCAGTTTCACTGACTATGGTGCATGGTACCTAGCTGGTTACTCTAGTGATGATGGTATCCGTATGCTTTGGAGACTCCATTGCAACCAATGGCTACCTGTTGCCGAGAAGACTATTTCCAATATCGAGGTTTCGGGCAACGATATATTCGTGTTTGGCATCAGCGAGGGTGACGTTGGTGTTTTTTACCCGAAGAATAACAATGCTTATCGCATAATAGCTCAGGCGGATCCTTCCAAGGAGTATACTGGTGTCACCTTTGATCAACACTCGAATATTCTATATGTTACCGAGAAGGCTACTGGGCAGATTGCTCGGTTCACAGGTCACTACTACGGTTTCAACTAGTGGTCCTGTGACTAGCGCTACTACAATTTCAACTAGTGGTCCTGTGACTAGCAATACTACATCCTCTTCATCTGGCCAGTGTTCGGGTGACCATTAGTACTGGTGACCATTACCATTAGAGTACTGTTACTTTAAAGTGATCGGCCTTCCATAGTCGGTATCGGCGAATTACCGTTAGAGTACTGTTACTTTAAAGTGATCGGCCTTCCATAGTTGGTATCGGCGAATTACCATTAGAGTACTGTTACTTTAAAGTGATCGGCCTTCCATAGTCGGTATCTACCCCGCTGAACAGCTCTCCTGTGCCCTAGTTGTCCCCATAACAGTGAGTGCGAGTTACAGTCCATTCTACTTAACATTAGCCATGTCCGGCTCCATTCTACCTAACATAAGCCATGTCCGGCTCCATTCTAACTAACATGAACCATGTCCGGCTCCATTCTAGCTGATGTATCACATGCCTGGCTTCATTCTACTTAACGTTAGCCATGTCCGGCTCCATTCTACCTAACATAAGCCATGTCCGGCTCCATTCTAACTAACATGAACCATGTCCGGCTCCATTCTAACCAACATGAGTTCTGCCCGGCTCCATCCTAGCTGATGTATCACATGTCCGGGCCTATTAAACCTAACATTAGCCATGTCCGGCTCCATTCTAACTAACATGAGCTCTGTATG